CCCTCTCTGGGCTAAACTTGGGGACTGGAGCCCTCTCTGGGCTAAACTCGGGGACTGGAGCCCTCTCTGGGTTAACTCAGTGACTGGAGCCCTCTCTGGGCTAGACTCGGGGAGTGGGTCTCCCTCGTGGCGGGCTCTGTTGCCGGCTCTCGCACCTTGACTGATGTCCCTTGTAGCTCCGGCTCCGCGGCGATCCGTTGCTCTGTCGCTCCATGCGGCAACGGCTCGTCGTCCAGGTAGCTGGAGAGGTTGGCGAGGACCAGGAATAGTCTGGTGTGGCCCTCGAGCGATTTTTCCCCCTGCTCCAGCAGCAGGGGGGGTATTCAGGGTGAAGGAGGAGATCCATGGACACAACGGAAACAAAACACTGAGTAAAACGTGAAAAACAAAAACGGAGGGAAGGCACGGAGGTTACTGTTTTGGTCTGGTATTCTGTCACGAGCCGCTACTGTGAGGAGCGAGGAGACGTGGAGTAGACTTCACAAAAACAGACTTTAATAAACATCCAACGGAACTAGGAACACACACAAAAAGCGGGGAAAGATGAACATTCAATACCGGACAAACTCAGAAAGCACAGACAGGACCTTAAATACATGGGGTAATTGACAACACACACCTGGAACAAATGAAACAATTAACATAGGAAAACTGGGTCATGGAGCACGTGGAGAGGGAAAAACACACAGAATGAGTCCAGGGGCGTGACAACAAATCTATTAAAAAATGTATAAAATTGTTTGAATACACGTAAATAAATAAAAAAAATAATTCAGTGTAAAACAGTATATTATTATAATATAATATATATTACAATTAAATATATAAATAATATTATGTATATTTTGGATCACTGAATATACGGTTTCACGCAGCAATATTATTGATTTATTTATTTGTTTGTTTGTGTTAAAGCGGCTTGCATTGGATTTCAAAGTATACATTTTTATTTTTGTATTGTACATTTTTATTACCCGTGATCTCAGAGTTTGATTTACAGGAACGTTTATACAGTGCACTCTATTTTTATGGATCTGTCCTGTAATACAGATGAATATCAAACCTGTTGATGTTGTGTGTTTGTAGGGTAAATGGGAAGCTGGTTGCATTGAAAGTGATTCGTCTGCAGGAGGAAGAGGGAACGCCATTCACAGCGATTAGAGAAGGTGAGCGATCTCTCCATCACTTGCCAGTAGGGCTGGGCGATATGGCAAAAAATAAAAATCTCGATTTTTTTTCAGAGCGTTTGACCGATTCTCGATTTTTAACTAGTCAACTTGAAAATGTATTTACAACATGATTCAAGTTACTTTTTCTTTATTAACCATCGAGTTAAAGAAAATTATATTTCAAGTGTACCACACATGAAGTTGTCAACATTATGTAAATGTTAAACAAATCACTTGTTAAATATCTTTGCAGAAAAAGATGCATTTAAATTCGAACTGACTGAAGGTATAACACCAGTAGACTATTATTAACTATAAATGTTCTGTAAAAACAATGAACAGCAGCTTTCAGCCGGTCACCATGATGCAAACATGAAATATCAGACATACAGTAGTAGTTACAGGTTTTTATTCAATTGCGCTGCTTTTCCACTGTTTTTTCTATATAAACATGGACGGGCTTGAATGTTACGCTCGCGTCTCTTGCAGCGTCTCATGCATGAGTTAAAAGAAGTTCATTCCCATCTTCTTTCATGTTTTTCCTATTCCACTGCCTGCGTCACATCTTTATTAATACAAAAGCGCATTCTGTGTAAATGGCGTCTAGCGATATATTCTACTTACAATCCTGCGGTTGGATCGTTCTTTTCTCTTTACTGTTATCACTGGCATATTGCCAAAGTGTCTAATTCTTACATTTGGTAATATTTCTATTCAAAATCGTGATTCTTCGATTTCTAAAAAAAAATGTAATCGTGGCAAAACATTAAATTCACTGTAAAAAAAATCTGTAAATTATACGTTCTTTTTCACTTCCAAAAACGGTATACTACCGTAAAATGACATGTAATGTCCAATACGGTTTTGTAGTAGGGTAATTTACCGTTAACAATTTAACAGGTTTTTACTGTAGCATTTTTACAGTCTTTTACCGTTAAATTAACGGTCATTTTTTACAGTGTTTGAATTAATCGATAAAATCTGAAAAATCGCCCAGCCCTGCTTGCTAGTGTTAATATGTGTGTTTTATGTGGCCTTCATATAACAAAGAGAAACTGAAGTTAAAGTCTGGCACCTGAAAGGCGTTTTTCTCTCTCTCTGTTCTGAGTGAAGCGTGTGAGAATCTCTCTGCATTTTAATTGCGCTGTGTTTTTGATCTGCGTGATCCGGGCCAATCATCCGGGGCTGCGCGGATCAGAAAAACGCTTTGAACATTGAGCTAATTCAGCAATTACTGGAGATGTTGAGGCCGGCAGAACTTGAGCAGAATGAGAGAGAAACGAGGAATCGCTCTGTTCACACACTTAGTGAGCTTACTGCACAGGCAGGATTTTAAGGCCTGATTTTGACTAAATCGAAGGCAACATTGCATGCGTTTCTTGTGGAGAATGATTTTCAGTGTGAGAACAGATCGTGAGCAACATCCTGCTCTTATTAAACAAAAAAGCGCCGCTCAAAATCAACCTGATCGTGTTCAACTTACAGGCAGTGTTTCTAGAAAAGTGTACAGCAGACTTCATAAATCTGCTCTGTGTGAATAATCGGTCTAAAGAAATAAAATAAGTTTCTGAGCTAGACAAGAAAATGAGAAAAGAGCTGAAGTTAGTCATTGCTCAGTGAGGGATTGACAGTCAGCATGAAGTTCATTTTTTATGTTTTTCATATCTTTATTTTTAATCATTTTATGTGATTTGTGTCTTTTGATCAAATCTATTAATGATACTCACAGATGTTGGTTATTATTATTATTATTATTATTATTATTATTATTATTATTATTATGTCATCATGTAGTTCTGTCTCTGTTTGTCTTTCTATCTTGCTTTTTTCTGAAACATAAAATGAGAATATCCAAGCTTCGGTTTTTCAAATGCTGCAAGTGTACAGTGATTTATACTGTCAACTATTTTATTTATTTTATTTTAAGCACTTTGTTATTTTATTTTATTTGATTGTATTGTTGTATTTTAATTCATACATAAAAATTAACAAATAAATGTCATTATTATTTTATTTTATTCCATTTTCTTGTTTTAATAATTTTATTTCATAATATAATTAAATAAATAAGAATTACTCAAAAAATTAATTAACAAATAAATTATTAATAAATCAAAATATAAAAATTATTTTACTTAATACTTTATTGCATTTTATTTTATTTCAGTTTATTGTACATTTTTGAATATTTACTTTTTATTTCACTTGCATTTTCTTATTTATTATTATTATTTATGATGTTATTTTTTATTATTGTTTATAATTATAATAATAATTCTAAAAATACAATTATTATTACTTTTTAATTTTTGGTCAGTGAGGGATTGACAGCTGATCAAATCCATGATACTGATACTTGCATAGGTTTTTTTTATTTATTTATTTTTTATTATTAATTTAATTTATTATTATTAAAGAAGAATTATTAACAAGTAAATCCAGATACACAAAATATAAGAGCAATCTTAAACTGTAGAACAGTGTTTAAGAGAAGAAAAATAAATAAAATAAACAAATAACCACATCGTAAAAAACAAAATAAAACACAAAAGAAAAATAAAATAAAAAAGCATATAAACAATAGTTCAAATTTTCTTCCTTTTTCATTAGGACATATTCACAGATTACAGCTGGGGAGCTATATCAGAAAAAAATTCTCCATGAAATCTAAGAGACAAATCACAATTATAAAACAAATGACACAAGTCGTCCTCATGTAAAATATAGTGTAAAGTGATTTTATTAAATGTAGTTTATTATTTATACAGTATTTTCATATATGATGTATATGACAGCAGGATTGACTCGCCCTTGTTTTGCTCGATATGTGAGCTTTCCTTTTGCCCTTGAAAAATGAGTCGCATTTTCCACAGATGCAAATCTGTTCGCTGTTCATTGTGAAACACACTTGAAGTGTTTCGCTCCGTCTTTGTAGTAAATTAAAATGTTCTGAGTGCTTTCTTCTTGATTGAGATGAGATTTCTGTGTTCTGCAGTTTTGTAATGTGAAGAAAAACACGTCTGATCTGAGAAATATGGCAAACACACTCATAAAACATCAATGTAAACGAAGGCTTTGCTGCTGATGATTATCTTTAATTGCAGTGTTCGTGTGTAACTCGTTAGCTGGAATAATAGACAGGAAGCTCAGAGAGCCGCTTCCTGTCCCTGCGGCGATGCTTTCTCCGTTATATTATATATTATATATTACATTCTCTAATATGTGGAGTAATAGTCATTCTGTCCTCAGCAGCATGTTTACTTTTCATTTCCTTTTTATTTTTTATAACCCTTTGAAGATTCAAAGCCTTAAAAGCTATTTGTTCTTTTATTTATTGCTCTTTTATTTGAAGCTTGACACTTCACACATTTTGTGTTATGAGACTTCAAGGTGCTTCACAGCCACAGTTTCTGTTTCCCTTTTTCTGTGTGGAAAATTGATTTTAAATGATTTTAAATTATTATGAAGCACTTTGGATAATACAAAATATTATATCTTGCTTTCATCTGAAACATAAAAGTAGAATGTCCAAGCTTAATGAAGAATGTGTAGGATTCTGTTTTCCATATAGTGCAAATGCACAGTGATTTATACTATCCAGTATTTTATTTTAATTTAATTTTATTTAATTGTATGTAATTTTATTATCTTGGGCACATTTATTTTGTTATTTTTCTAAAGTATTTATTAAATAAAAAAATATTTAATACTTTATTGCATTTTATTTTAGTTTATTGTCATTTTATTTTAATGTTTATTGTTTAATTAAAATATTTTATTTAATACTTTACTGCATTTTATTTTACTTTAAGTTTATAAAATTTTTGTTGTAGTAAATTTTTTTAATACATTTTTTAAAATGTATTTATTATAATAAGAATTGTAACAATAAAATAATAATAATAATAATAAAAAATAAATAAATAAAAATAAAGTAATAATAAAAGCCTAATAAAAACAATAGTTCTGGTCAAGATTGGGTGCAAGTTCATTATATATATATATATATACATATTAGTTATTTTGGCGGTACATCTAGATACAGGGTACATCTAGGCGTGAAAAGCCTCTTATCAGCAAAACTTCTAGCTTTTTATATATTGAATCCAGGAACAGCTGTCTGACAGATAAATGAACATCTCTGCTGTTTCAGATGTTAAAATGTTAAAACTCCAGTTCTTAATACGAGTCATTGGTGTGTTAATGAAGAGTTTGTGTTTGTGTGCAGCATCTCTGCTGAAAGGCCTGAAACACGCCAACATCGTGCTGCTCCACGACATCATTCACACCAAGGAAACCCTGACGCTGGTCTTCGAGTATGTGGTGAGTATCACAACGTCTCCTTTAGAAATAGTGTTTAATCCCTGTTATTTTCTGTAACTCCACTCCTGTTGTGTTTGAGATGCTTTTACATGAGCTTTACTCAGCATTCCTCCAGCCTGAGGTTTTCCTCATGCTTTGAAGCTTCAGTCCTGCTTCTCGAACCGCTCATTCTCCACACAGAGCTCCGCAGGTGACAGAGCTGCCAGTTAAAGCACAGGATCATTCAGACAACAATACGACTTCTGTCATCGTTTACTCAGCCTCATGCCGTTCTGGCCCTGCCTGATTTTCCTAATGGCTTTCTTCTGTCAAGCACAAATACACATATTTTACTTTTAGGTTCTTATTTATTATTATTTAGAATTGTTTGTTTATTTTTTTATTATCTATCATTTATTTATTTATTATAATTATAAATATAATAATAACCCTAACAATATAATAATAGTAATGCAAGTGAACAGTGATTTATACTGTCCAATATTTAATTACATTTTATTTTATTTTATCTTGGGCACATTATTATATTATATTATATTATATTATATTATATTATATTATATTATATTATATTATATTATATTATATTATATTATATTATATTATATTATATTATATTATATTATATTATATTATATTATATTATATTATATTATATTATATTATATTATATTATATTATATTATATTATATTATATTTATTTTAAATTAAAATAAATACATGTATTTTATTTTAAAAATGGTTCATTTTTAATATAAACATATTTATTCATTTTATATATATATATTTGTTTGTTTGCTGATTTTAGGGTCCTGGGCACATTTTTTTTATGTAATGTAAATTCATTTTATTTATTATTTTGCTGTGGTTTGCTAATTTTACAGTCTTGGGCACATTTGGTGTTTTATTTGTATTTTTTTTATTTTGCTTTTATTTGCTGGTTTTAGGGTCTTGGGCACATGTTTTAAATTTAAAGGTCCCATATTGTCTAAACTGAAATTTCCTGGCTTTTTTTATATTTATTTTAAATTAAAATAAATACATGTATTTTATTTTAAAAATGGTTCATTTTTAATATAAACATATTTATTCATTTTATTTAATACTTTTTTGCATTTGTATTTTACTTTAGCTTGTTGTACATTTTTTAACAGGCCAATCAGAAGAGAGGCTCATGAATATTAATTAGACAGGCCAAAATCGACCTGTTCTCAGCAGAGCAGCAGGAGCTGTAAAAATATATTGAGATGGTTTTTGGTACTTATACCGCAAATATACAGTATATTCTTAAGGACATCAAAACCTAAAATAAAACCCCAGAAAGGTGTAAAATATGGGACCTTTCATTTAATTTAATTGTTATTTTATTTTAGTATTTTGCTGTGGTTTGCTGGTTTTACGGTGCTTTATTTAATTTTATTTTTTGTTGAGGTTTGCTGGTTTTGGGCACATGGCGTTTTATTTTGAATTATTTATTTCGTTATTTTTATTGTGACGAGCAAATCAAAATGTGAAGATTGGACGGCGGCTGTGCTATTGATATCTGGGGTCCTCTGAGAGACGCGCCGGAGCTTTATATTACTCTGAGCCGCTGCTGAGACTCATTTCACTCGTGTTTAGACGCGCCGCTAACAAACACTGGGTTTGGTGGCGAGGAAATCAGTTGATTTTGCGTGGCGAGTGTTAATAATGATCGACAGGCGCAGCTGAAGCGTGTTTGAGCACCACTGCATTATTCATGAAAGAAAACGCGTTTATCTGCTGTGTTTGCAAACATCAGAATCACAGACCGAGCAGAGCATTGTGGGTAATGTATCTGTACAAATTCCCATAATGCACTGCAGTGAGAAATAAAATCATCCAAGATGGCCCTCAAAGTAAAAGTAATGTTGATAAATATATGTGTAATTCATTTACTGAAAATAATAATTAAAATAGTTTTATTTCTAATTAAAGTAAATTATTTATTATGAAATACTTTAGTAATTAAATAATATATTTTAAAACTTTTATATTATTAATTTTTATTAATAATAAAAATTGTAATAAATGTATTTGTTAAAAATTGAAATAAATAAAAACAATGTATTAATGATAAATAAATAAATATATTTAAAAGCATTATTATTATTTTTATTACTATTTAATAATGAGTTGTCCTGTATAATTTGAAATCAATATGTTTTTTATTAAATAATGAAAAATATTAAATATATGTTTAAAACACTTATTATTATTATTATTATTATTATTATCATTCGTAATAATAATAAAAATAATACATTGGTTTATTTAATTTGAAAGCAATACAACAATTTATTATTAAATATGTTTAATAATGAAATAATTAATAATGAAAAACAATAAATGTTTGAAATAATAAATGGTTTTATTTAATTTTAAACAAAATAAAACAATTTATTATTAAATAAATTATTTGATCATAAAAATAAGTAAAACTTAAAAACTTTATTTTTTAAATCATCACCATTGCAAGGATTGCTAAAGTCAACAGATTTTACTAATAGAGCTACCAATTTCTGTGTAAAAATAAAATAATGATGCTACCATCTTTCTTAAGTCATTTTATTCCCCTGTAATTTGGCTCTGAATCTTGACCCTCCCCTACAAAATAGTGGATTACTTAGTAAATATGTCTGTGACATTTCATATTTTGGGTTTTATCACTATATATTTTACAAAATCAAAAATGTTAGCCGAGAAGTTTCTGAAATTCGCTTGATTTGACTCTGAGTGACCAATATGTAATTTATATCTAATTAATAATGTTGTATTTGAGCCATTCTTTATGTGCAGTGTGTTTTTCTGCTTGTTAGGATACTCTGTGTTCTGTTCAGAGTCAGTGTCTCACGTCCCTCTTTCCTCTCTCTCTCTCTCTCTCTCTCTGTCTCTCTCGCTCGGTCCAGCACACAGATCTGTGTCAGTACATGGACAAACATCCCGGCGGCCTCCATCCAGACAACGTCAGGGTGAGTGAGACACCGCTATCTGTTTGAACTGCTCTTGTGAGGGATTTCATGGTGAAACGGCTCTGCTCATGCATGCTTCACCAGAGAATCCAAAAACTCTTCTTGAAGCGTCTGATGCATATTGAGCACAAAACAGCAAGCTTCAATCTGATTGGCAAGCTTTATGCAACAGGTTTTTATATTTGTGATAATATCAATGAAACATGCTCTGAAATATATGTGAATAGGCTGGAAAATATATATTATTTAATTTTATTTTAGATTCAGTATAATATCATTTTTATTTTATTCTATTCTATTCTATTTTATTCTATTTCATGTCATTTTATTTGATTCTTTTCTATTTTATTTAATTTTATTTATTTATTTTTATTCTATTCTATTTTATTTAATTTGATATAATTTTAGTCTATTTTATTCTATTTCTATTCTATTTTATTCTATTTCATTTTAATTTTTTCTATTCTATTTTATTAAATTTTATTTTATTCTATTCTATTTAATGTCATTAAATTTTATTCTATTCTATTCTATTTGATTCTATTCTATCCTATTTTATTATTTTCTATTTTATTTAATTTTATTTATTTATTTTTATTCTATTCTATTTTATTTTATATCATTTTAGTATATTTTATTATATTTTATTCTATTCTATTTCATTTCATTTTAATTTATTTTATTTACATTTTTTATTCTATTCTATTTTATTTTATTTATTTTAGACCTAGTACACAACCTGGCAAAATGTAAGAACTACTTGCTGGATTTGTGATTTTCATATTGCATATTTTAAGTTTATTTTATTTTTCCTCAGCATTTTTGATTTTTCAGATTTACTCTCCTCTAAATGTCATTGTTGGCTTCATCAGCTCTTTTTAGTGTCCATTTCTTGTCCAGAATACGCTACAGTGTGGATCGGACTTGTGAGACAGTTGTTCCACGTGTAGTTTATGGTTCAGATTCTGGCATGAAGATTTCACAGAAGTTTTTAGCATGTATTTCTTCTCTTTCTGATTCCCGTCTGAAGCGTTGTGCGGTCAGAAGTAGAGCCGGAGTCGTGTGAGTTCAGACCCGTCTGCGTCTCTTTGTCTGTCAGAAGTGAGGCTCTCGAGTCAGTGATTCCTGAGCGTCTGTGTCTGTCTGTAATGAAACTCTCTGTCCGTGTCCGTGTTTAATTGAGCAGTGAGACCACACACTCGCAGTAAGTGGGTTTTCTTGAGATCTGAAGGAAGAAATGAGCAGAAGAACAGACGTATGATTACAGCTGAGGTTTCTGCAGAGGCACTTTATAATACAGTACCAGATTTTCCAGAGTATAATTGTGTTTTTTATCTTCTGAAACGTGCTGTGACACATATTCGAAAGCGTCTTTTATAATGCAGTTAACATCAAGCATGCAAAACATGTTCAAAGCAACAGATTTGGAATTTGTTGTGATTTTAGGGAGCTAAATTACATCGTTATAGTGTTTATAATGTTTTATTTATTGGTATTTTACATTATTTCTGAATTTAATAGTAAAACATGACTTATATGCTGATGAAAATCTGTTTTTTTCCTCTCCCAACAATGCAATTTTGACCCAGTGCAACTTATTTTAAGGAAATGTCATTTATAGTCATTTGTTCCTCTGATAAGTGTTATAACTGACAATTGTGTGACATTGTACTTTGTCATAATAATTTTGTAATTTTGGCAATTCTGTTGCCAATGCTGGTGGTTCAGAACAGTGTTATTTTAACAACAAATTTATATATAAAATTTACAAAAACAACTTATTGTTTTGCTTTATTATTATTAATAAATAATGTAATAATAATTGTAATAAAATAAAAAATAAATTATACAAATTTAAAAACGATTGTTATTTAATAATTAATTTAATTGTTTGATTTAATTAAAAATAAATTAAATAAAACAATGTATTATTAAACAAAGAATGTAATAATTAAATAAAATAATAAATATAATATATATATTTTTTAATCTTTTTTTTTTTTATTAAATATTAGTAATTTAGCTTTTATTAGAAATGCTGCATTGGCAACTACCTGAAATAAAACGCTTTATATTTTGCAAATGCTTGCATCCAAAGTGAAATTTGGAAGTCAGTTCATGCATTTCCTATGAATCGAACCATGACCTTATTGTTGCAAGCATCTTGATCTACTGTTTGTGCAAATAAGAATAATTCTCAATAAGAAACAACATCCCCTTGCCAATACCACTCGATTTGGTTGTTTTCATGACAAAAACTGTTAGTAAACTATTTGGAAAAATGACAGATGAAAACTAGTTGTGTTTTTACTTGCTATATTTGACATAAATGGACAACACAGTTTTTATCTGGTTAAAATGCTTCTTGAAATCAAGTATAAAGTCAATGTCTTGGTAGAAAGTAGCAGTGAAAGAGCAGTGAGTTGGTAATTCCTGGCGTGATGGAGTGAATGAGGCCAGCGAGCAGAAGTCGCTTATGTAATTCATCACTGTGGATTTACATAAATAAAATATTTATCCCATTTGCTCCCTCATTGAGATTCAATCCAATGGAGAAATCCTGATAAATGACAAGCCAGACGTACGGTGGGATCTGTTTCCCACAGATCATCTCACAATGCCACAGTATGGAGAAAATCAGGACAGGCTGCACTTTACATGGCTTTCACAACCTTTAAAGAACATTTCTGACCAGGATTCCCCTGTAGATTCAGGTTTATAAGGACAGTGAGCTGCAGAGAATTGTTTTGTGGCCATTATAATGTCTTATTTCTCATGCATGTAGACCAGGCACACATGAGCCAATCTTTACTTGGATAACTTGGTTTAGATTAGATCATACCGATACTTGTGTTTCTTTTGGTGAATAGTTCTCTGAATAGTATCTGTGTTGATTGAGATTGGACTGAAATGGTTAAACTATTGATGTGCAATAAACATAAAACAAGGAACCCATAACTGGAACTGTCATGTAGATGAATCTACATGACAGAACATGACTTAAATTCATAAATATATTTTTTTGAACTTTTTTTTGTCTACCTCAAAATCTTGTGCTTATAAAAGCATATTTTATTATATATTTTATATAATAAATAAAATTAAAGAAATATAAGTATAATAAAATATAAATATAATAAAGAAAATATCTTAAAAATGTGTGTATAAATATATATATATATATACATAATATAAATATAATTTTCAAAAAATTGACCCTTATGACTGGTTTTGTAGTCCAGGGTCATATATGGTTCTATTATGGTTATATATATATATATATATATATATATATTTATTAAGAGAAAATGTAAAAAAAATTTTAAATGGATAAATACATACAAAATATGTATATATAATATTGTTAGAATAATATATAATAATTTGTAATACTGTATGTATTTTGTATACATTGTAAATGCATAATTATTACTATATGCACATAATATTTATTCTATATTGCTTTTTGTTTTATATTTTATATTTACATTTCTGCTAAATGCAGACTGCTTTTTTTTGGTTCTGTACTTGTACTCTGCAAAATTACTGAAGTTAAATCTAATCTAATCAAAATTATCTTAAAATCCTTGAAACAATTTACTTGAGAAGCAACACTGCGTGAGATATTGGCACTTGTTTTGATACTGTGTATCTTGAATATATGTGTACTTTTGTCTTGCTGCACTGGCAGATCATGTATTTTTAGCTCGCAGTAAGACAAAATACACAAATTAAAAAGACAGTCTATGAAAACAAGTCTTAGTATCTAATGCAGTGTTACTTCACAAGTGAATTCATTTTGTTTTGAGGATTTTTATTATTATTTTGACCTCAAATACTAGACAAAAATATGAATGCAAATATGACTTTTGCAGTGTAGTGGCAGCATGAGCATCTTTAATATATTGAATAAGTAAATTATGAGTTGAGTGGTGTTTAATGCGTCTTAATAATGCATCTTCTGTTCACTTGCGTTGTACTTCATCAGTCTGTTTTTAACACAAGAGCTTGTTCTTAGTGTCTTAATAATTTCTGGAGTGCTCGTCTTATAACGACAGACTCGCCGCCTCCTCAAGCATCAACTCATCAGAGCCAAAATGGACGCTAAGTCACGATCAAATACGCCACACAAGGGCTGGCGTTTTAATTCCGCCCATTAGCTGGAGCTGATTCATTCGCTCAGATCAGCGCTAATAAAAGCCATTAGACTCTGGGCTGCAGGTTGGATGGGATTAGCATGTGAAAGGCAGCGCTCAGGGTGCTAGCGGCTAATGTAATTACTGGTCAAGCAGCAGAGAGACAGGACCCCATTCTGGGCCGCCGTCCAAACCAGACCTTCTGCGCATATGCTGCTCTCGCTCCAGAAATAACACGAGATCTTCACAGGCCTCGTTATGCTGAGTGTGTGCCGGTGATTCGATTGACGCGTTAGGCTGCTTTAATGAGAATGTTAAATTAACTAATTGATACTAGGGATGCAACGATACCATTTTTTTCAGAACCGATCCGATCCAATCCAGAAAATTCTGAGTATCGGCCGATACCGATTCCGATCCGATGCCAGCGCAGTTTTTTTCAATCAGTGTAGAATTTCTATACTTCTGTGGGTTGACCTGATCGTCACTCTTTTGTGTGTTAGACACAATCTACTAAATACAGACTACTTCATTTTAATGAAAAATAACAAATGGAAAAATACATAATCATAATCTATGATAAAAAATACTATTATAAATTAGATTTAGTGGATAATTCAGCAGCAAAAGTTATTCTAGAAAAATCATGAGTGCATAATAATTTTATAAAATCTAAACATTTAGAGAAATAACATTATTTAGTGGGGAACAATGTCAGGGATATGGACCTGTCTGTGTGTGTGCTTTTCTCCCCATGTGCTCCGTGACCTAGTTTTCTCCCTTGTCTATTGCTTCATTTGATTCACCTGTGTTCGTTAATTATCCCTCGTTAAGTTTAGTATTTATAGTGTAGTCTGCCCCATG